CCCGTGGAGGTCCACAGGGGTGCAGAGATACACCTCCAGCCCGTGGAGAAGACCCACGACAAAGCAGGTAGATACCCGAAAGAAAGTTGTGACCCCATGGGAAGCCCATACTAGAGCAGGCTCCTGGCATGGACCTGAAGACCCATGGAGAGAGGACCCCACGCTGGAGCAGGTTTCCTAGTAGGACTTGTGGCCCTGTGGGGGACCCATGCTGGAGCAGGCTGTTCCTGAAGGACTGCACTCTGTGGAAACAGACCCACATTGGAGCAGTTCATGAAGAACTGTCTCCCATGGGATGGACCCCACGCTGGAGCAGGGGAAGGGCTCCTCTCCCTGAGCAGCTCAGAAACAGTGATGCACACCACAACCCCCATTTCCCCATTCCCCATCTCCCTGTGTCCCTGGGGGGGGGGGGAAGGAGGTAGAATCTGGGAAAGAGTGGGGAAAAGGTGTTTCTAGGATTTGTTTTACTTCTCATTATCCTGCTCTGATTTTGATTGGTAATAAATTCAATTAAAATCCCCAAGTTGAGTCTGTTTTGCCCGTGATGGTAATCGGTGAGTGATCTCTCCCCATCCTTATCTCAACTCATGAATCTTTCATTATATTTTCTTTCCTCTCTCCAGTTGTGGAGGGAAATGATAGAGTGGCTTTGGTGAACACCTCGCATCCAACCAGGGTCAATCCACCACAGTTCTACTGCAAAATTTATGAGAAATTCCATGGAAGTCACTTTATCTACATGTTTTTTATGAACAAGTTAAAAATTGTGTGCCTTATAAGTACATCGTCAAATCCCAAGTCTCTAAATTGTTTACTCAAAATAAGCAGATGCACTAGCTTCATCTGGTTTAAATGTCAGTTACCTATTGTAAGATACAAATATTACCACAGTTGCAACTCATTAGGAGCCTCTAAAGATAATATTTGTGAAACGCACAAGTAATGTAAATAAGTGAAATTCTACTGAAATGTGCATTCTTGTTTTTAGGGTTGCTAAAACAAGGGGATTTATGGTTACTGAACCTTTAGTTCAACAAGGGAAAGTGCAAAGTCCTACACCCGGGGATGAATAACCTCATGCACCTGTACCTGCTGGGAGCTGAATTGCTGGAAAGCAGTTAAGCAGAAAGCGGCAGAAAAGGTCCTGGAGGTCCTGGTGGACACCAAGTTGAACATGAGCCAGCAATGCACTCTTGTGGTAAAGAATCACAGAATCATTTATATTGGAAAAAACCTCTGGGATCATAGAGCCCAACCTTTGACTGATCAACACCTTGTCAACTAGACCATGGCACTAAATGTCACGTCCAGTCATTTCTTGAACACCTCCAGGAATGATGACTCCACCACCTCCCTGGACAGTCCATTCCAATGTTTAACAACCCCTTGCCACGAAGAAATTCCTCCTGATGTCCAATCTGAACCTTCCCTGGTACAGCTTGAGGGTATGTCCTCTTGTCCTGTCACTAGTAGCCTGGGAGAAGAGGCTGACCCTCACCTCACTACAACCTCCTTTCAGGTAGTTGTAGAGAGTGAGAAGGTCACCCCTGAGCCTCCTTTTCTCCAGGCTAAACAACCCCAGCTCCCTCAGCCGCTCCTACCAAAGAAGACCAATACTAACCTGGGCTGCATTAGGAGGAGTGTTACCAGCAGGTTGTGGTCTGAACAGTAATGAAGTCTGACAACACGTTATAAAACAAAGCTTTATTGAGACAGAAGAAAGATGAGCAATGAGTGTGGTGAGTTAACCTTGACTGGCCTTCAGGTGCCCACCAAGCTGCTCTATCACTCACCTCAGTGGGACAGGCAGAGCAGAAAATCAGAATAAAAACTCATGAGTCAAGATGGGGAAAGTTAACTCTATCTGAGACAGATCCAATACAGTGACACACCCATACGGTGACTTACCACATCACAGATAGTAATCACGTGATTGTAAGTGTTGCCATGGCTCTGGTGGACTGCTAGGAACATTTGATGTCCAAGTCACGCAGAAGCAACTGCCAGTTGTGTAAATGCCTTTCTAATAGGGGTGAGAGTCACACCACCCATTGGGTCTACCAATGATAGTGTGATTTGAGTGATTCAAACTTTACATGGAATGTGGGTGGGACCCTGCCTACACTTCCAAGGTCAAGGGGCAGGGTGTCAGGGGGCAGGATGCTGAAAGTCTGTCTAGGCCTGTGTCCAGGCCATGGTCAAGTGGCAGTCTGTCACAGGTTGACAGAGATATCCTTCCCCTCTACTAAGCACTGGTGAGGCCACATCTGGAGTCCTGTGTCCAGCTGAATGTTTATGGGCAAGAATCAGGGGAAGGCCAACAAGGCAGATATCCTGGTGGGAGATTGTTACAGACCATCCAACTAGGATGAAGAGGCAGACAAAATATTCTGTAAGCAGATGGGAGAAGTCTCGTGATTGCTGGCCCTTGTTCTCAGGGGAGACTTCAACTTACCAGATGTCTGCTAGAAATACAACACAGCAGAGAGAGAACAGTCTAGGAGGTTCCTGGAGTGTGTGGAAGATAATAACTTCCTGACACAGCTGGTAAGCAAGCCAACAAGGGGAGGTGCCCCACTGGACCTGTTGTTTGTGAACAGACAAGGACTGGTGGGTGATTTGATGGTCAGACGCCATCTTGGGCAAAGCAATCACAAAATTATGAGTTTTTAATTCTCAGAGAAGTAAGGAGAAGCATCAGCAGAACTGTCACAATGGACTTCTGAAGGGCACACTTTGGCCTGTTTAGAAGACTCCCTTGGGAGACAGTCCTGAAGGGCAAAAGAGTCCAGGAAGGCTGGACATGCTTTAAGAAGGAAATCTTAAAGTTATAGGAGCAGGGTGTCCCCATGTGCCGAAAGATGAGCTGGTAGGGAAGAAGACCGATCTGGAAGAACAGAGAAATTTGGCTGGAACTCAGGGAGAAAAGGAGAGTTTATCACTTCTGGAAAAAGGGGCAGGCAACTCGGGAGGACTACAAAGATGTTGTGAGGTTATGCAGGAAGAAAATAAGAAGGACCAAAGCCCAACTAGAACTTAATCTGACCACTGCTGTAAAAGACAACAAAAAGTGTTTCTACAAATACATCAACAACAAAAGCAGGGACAAGGACAATCTCCATCCTTTATTGGATGTGAGGGGAAACATAGTGACAAAGGATGAGGAAAAGGCTGAGGTACTTAATGCCTTCTTTGCCCACCTCCAGGTTGTAAGAAAGAGATGGGGAGCAGAATGAAGTCCCCATAATCCAGGAGGGAATGATCAGCAACCTGCTATAGGATCCACCCAGGAGTACTGAGGGAGCTGAAGGGGGAGCTCACCAAGTCACCTTCAATCATTTACCAGCAGTCCTGGTCAACCGGGGAGGTCCCAGGTGGCTGGAATTTAGCAAATGTGGTGCCCATCTACAAGAAGAGTTGGAAGTAGAATCTGGGGAATAACAGGCCTGTCAGCCTGACCTCAGTGCTGGGGAAGGTCATGGAGCACATCATCTTGAATGCCATCATGTGACAGATGCAGGAGAACCAGGGGATCGGGTCCAGACAGCATGAGTTTAGGAAAGGCAGGTCCTGCTTGACTAACCTCATCTTCTATGACAAGGTGACCTGCTTAGTGCAAGAAGGAAAGGCTGTGGGTGTTATCTACCTAGACTTTAGTAAAGCCTTTGACACCCTTGCCCACAGGATTCTTCTGGAGAAACTGGCTTCCTATAGTGTGGATGAGCGTACTCTTTGCTGGGTAAAAAACTGCCCGGATGGCTGGGCCCAGAGAGTGGTGGTGAATTGAGTTACATCCAGTTGAAAGATGTTTACAAATGGTGTTCTCCAGGGCTCAGTACTGGGGCCAGTTCTGTTTAGTATCTTCATCAATGACCTGGACAAAGGGATCAATGCACCCTTAGCAGGTTTGCAGACAACACCAAGTTGGGTGGGAGTGTTGATCTGATTGAGGGCAGAAAGGCTCTGCAGAGGGATCTGGACAGGTTGGATTGATGGTCCAAGGCCAATTGTATGAGGTTCAACAAGGCCAAGTGCCTCGTCCTGCACTTGGGTCACAACAACCTCCTGCAGCGCTAGTCTTGGGGGAGATAGGCTGAAAAACTGACTGGTGGAAAAGGACCTGGGGGTGCTGGTTGACAGCAGCTGAACAGCAGTGTGCCCAGGTGGCCAAGAAGGCCGATGGCATCCTGGCCTGTATCAAAAATAGTGTGGCCAGCAAGGACTAGGAAAGTGATTGTCCCCCTGTACTCAGCACTGATGAGGCTGCACTTTGAGTACTGGGTTCAGTTTTGGGCCCCTCACTACAAGAAAGACATTGAGGTGCTGGAGCATGTCCAGAGAAGGGCAAGGAAGCTGGTGAAGGGTCTGGAGCACAAGTGTTAGGGGGAGTGGCTGAGGGAACTGGGGTTGTTTAGCCTGGATAAAAGGAGACTGAGGGGAGACCTTATTGCTCTTCACAACTACCTGAAAGGAGGTTACAGTAAAGTGGGCATCAGTCTCTTTTTCCAGGTAACAATTAACAGGATGATAGGAAATGGCTCCAAGTTGCGCTAGGGAAGGTTTAGATTAGATATTAGGAAAAATTCCTTCACAGAAAGGGTTGTCAAGCATTGGAACAGGTTGCCCAGGGAAGTGGTGGAGTCACCATCCCTGGAAATGTTCAGAAAATGTGTGGATATGGCACTTGAGGGCATGGTTTAGTGTTGAACATGGTGGTGGCACTAGTTTGATGTTTGGACTTGATGATCTTAGAGGTCTTTTCCAACCTTAAAGATTCTCTGGTTCTGTAATTCTATGATATCCTGAACAGAGTTCAAAGAAGGGCCACAAGGATGTTTTTAAGGGAGTGGAGCATCTCTCCTATGAGGAAAGCCTGAGACACCTGGAACTGTTTAGCCCAGAGAAGAGAAGGCTCAGGGGTTCTTTGTGCTTTTAGTTATACGTGCCACAAACCCTTCTTAATATGATCTTCCAACTTTTTCTTTCTGTGTTTTTAGTCCTCCTGTTCGCCATCAGAGAGCAAGAAGAGATCGTCTGTCTCGACACAATTCTGTTAGCCAAGATGAAAATTATCACCATCTCTCCTATGAACAGCAGCAAGCAATAGAAGAGCCCCAAGCCTTTAACCCTCCAAATATATCCCATCATATTTTTCACCCAGCTGGTCACTCGCCACAGCAGAACACAGTGATGGTTGACATTCATGATCAGGTAAGAGTGTGTTGAGAACATGTATGTGAATATCTTAAATTCTGTGTATTCTTCTCCAAATAGAGCAAATGTGTGAATTCTCCTTGACAAATTAGTTGGCAATGGAGGTCACATAACACTAACTCCTATAAGCCCTCTTGTATAGAGTATTATTTCTTTTTTTCTTTTGAGTAGTATCAGTGTATGGAGAGCTGCAGCATTTCGTGAAAACATTGATACATTTTTTATTTAAGAAAAAAAATAAAAAACTAGACTCTCATGGAGAATAGTGAAAGCCAACAGTCTCAGTGTGTGTTGGCATAGTTGTGAAGATCTCTGCATCCCACCTTTGAAATGTGACTCTTCTGCTTCTGAAGTTAATTTAGTTTAAGATATAAAATGGTAATAATATCTTTAGAATCATAGAATATCCTGAGGTGGAAGGGACCCACGAGGTTCATTGAGGTCCAATTCATGGACCCGCACAGGACAACCCCAAGAATCACACCATGTGCCTGAGAGTATCATCCAAATGCTTCTTGAACTCTGTCAGGCTTGGAGCGGTGACCACTTCCCTGGGGAGCCTGTTCCAGTGCCCAAGCACTCTCTGGGTGAAGAACATTTTCCAAATATCCAACCTAAACGAAACCTCCCCTGACACAGCTTCATGCCGTTCCCTTGGGTCCTATCACTGGTCACCAGAGAGAAGAGATCAGTGCCTGACCATCCGCTTCCTCTCGTGAGGAAGCTGTAGACTACAGTGAGATCTCCCCTCAGTCTCCTCTTCTCCAGGCTGAACAGACCAAGTGACCTCAGCCACTCCTCATACGGCTTCCCCTCTAGACCCTTCACCATCTTCGCTGCCCACCTTTGGATGCTCTCTAATAGCTTTATATCTTTCTTATATTGTGGTGCCCAAAACTGCATACAGTACTTGAGGTGAAGCCGCAGCAGCACAGAGTAGCATGGTACAATCCCCTCCCTTGACTGGCTGGCGATGCTGTGCCTGATGCCCCCCAGGACACAGTTGGCCCTCCTGGCTGCCAGGGCACACTGCTGACACATTCAACTTGCCATCGACCAGGACCCTCAGGTCCCTTTCCACGGCACTGCTCTCCAACCTCTCGTTCCCCAGTCTGTCCATACATCCAGGGTTGCCCCATCCCAGGCGCAGAATCTGGCACTTGTCTTTGTTAAACTCCATATGGTTGGTGATTGTCCAGCCCTCTAATTTATCGAGGTCTCTCTGCAGGGCCTCTGCCTTTGAGGGAGTCAACAGCTCCTCCCAGTTTAGTGTCACCAGCAAACTTATTTAGTATACCTTTGAGTCCTGCATCCAAGTCGTTTATGAAGATGTTAAAGAGCACTGTCCCTAAAATGGAGCCCTGTGGAACCCCACTAGTGACTGGTTGCCAGCCTGATGTAACCTCATTTACTATAATCCTTTGTGCCTGTTGCACTCCGGATTTTAAGCTATAAGCTGCCTAGAGCAGTTACATTTCATTTAAGACTTTTTAAAAGCCTTTTGGTTCGTTATAACCTTGAATTCATATCCAGAGAAAGAGTCACACACTCTTCTCTAAAAGAAATTCTTTGAATTTAGTGAGAAAAATAAGATATTTTGGCAAAAGGTTTTACAGGAGTAAAATCCAACCAAGAAAAAATATTTCACTAAAACACCCAGCACAAAGACTCAGTTCACAGAAAACAGCTATTGCAAACAATCAATACACCAGCTTTAGTAAAACACAATTAATTGGTTTTAAGTTACCCACAAGAGAAGGAAAAGAGTAAAAGAAGAAAACAGATTAAAAGGGTAAAGAAAGAGAGAAGAAGAGAGAGGAAAGGAAAAATGGTTACTGACAAGATCTGCTGGTTCACATGGTTCAGGTTGCAGGAGAGAAGAGAGAGAGAGCACTCACATGGAGTCTCGTCTATTTATACAGTTCAGTTTTCCCTCCCAGGCAGGATATCTGGTTAGTGCCTTCCAGGCCAGAGTGAGGTGTGCTGTAGCCAGTCACAGGCTCCAGGGGCGTGGTGTGGACGGGCTACCAGGCAGGTCTGCCTTGACTGACAGCCAGGCTACATGGCCTTCAACTTTGCCATGTGCTTTGCATGGGTTCAGCCATGTTGGCTGCAGGCCTTCCGGCTCTGCCATGTGCTCTCAGCAGGCCTTATGTGATAAGGCAGGCCTTACCATGTACCTGCAGGTCTAGGCCCAGTCGTTCCCCACTCACACACACACACACACAGACACAGTGAGTTGGTTCCAACCCATATAAATAATTCAGTGAGATTCGGATCCAGTATCTCACAGTGCCCAACCTGTGAGCCAGTTGCTCACCCATCACATGACATGTTTATCCAGCTGTGTGATGGACATTTTGTCCAGAAGGATCCTGTGAGAGACAGTATCAAAAGCTTTACTGAAATCCAAAAAGATTACATCAACTGGTTTCCCTTGATCAACTAGGTGGGTTACCTTGTCGTAAAAGGAAATTAAGTTTGACAAGCAGGACTTCCCCTCATGAAAGCCCCATGTTGGCTGTGACTGATGACTGCCTTGTCCGTCAAGTGTTTTTCAATACTTCCCACAATAAGCTTCTCCATAATTTTAGCAGGCACTGAATTGAGACTGACAGGCAGGTAGTTCCAAGATCATCTTCCTTGCCCTTCTTGAAAATTGGGACAACATTTGCCAGATTCCAATCAACTGGGACCTCTCTGGATTCCCAACACTGTTCAAAAATCATTGAAAGAGGCCTTGGGATGACATCAGCTAGTTCTTTGAGTATTCTCACATGAATCCCATCAGGTCCCATAGACTTATAGGGATCCACCTGGAGCAGCAGATCTCCCATAAGTTCAGGGTTGACTGGAAGTTGATCATTCTCACAGTCATGGTCCTCCAGCTCAGATCACTGGGACCCCAAGAGCCCATCATCAGTGTTGAAGACCAAAGCAAAGAAAGCATTAAACATCTCTTCCTTGTCTATGTCCCAGGTTGTGAGGTGACTATCCTCAGCAATTAACAGGCCAGTGTTATTTCTGTACTGCCTTTTGCTATTACCATATTAAAAAAAAATATCCAGTACTTTAATTCATTGCATTTGAAGTACATCTCTTTAGCTTCAAGTGCTTTACATAGTTTAAATATATTCTTTAAAAATAGAATTCAGAATGCATGTAATTGCCTACATAATAGCAAAACTCATAATGGTTGGACTTAATGATCTTAAAGGTTTTTTCCAACCAAAAAAATTCTATGATTCTTTGAACTCACGATAATATAATCTCATCACTAAATTATTCATTCTAGCCTCAACCAACTCCTTAAATGGCACAAGAAAATTACATTTGCACTTAGTCCAGAAAAATAAGTTAGATCTTCTCTGAGACAGGAAGAGGAGTAGGATTCCATAATAGAGGCTCTTTAAAGGAAACTGTCCTCTTGATATAGCCTTTTCTTGTTCAAATCAGCAGACTGCAGCTCGTGTGTTTGTTGCTATGCAGTTACATTCATTAACTGGGGGACAGAGCTGGTCATTCTAATGTGGTGTACATGGAGGTTTCCTGAACTGGGGTAACCTCAGGGGGAGCCAAGACACCCACCAGGAGCCTGCAGCTCACATGACAGCAGCTGAGGAGACCTGGGCAGGGCCAGGAGCAACGGTGGGAGATTTAAACACGGTGTAAACTGAAACTAGCACTTGGTTGACAAGGCAAGCAGCTCTTGGTGCCACACCATCCACGGTGAAGCACTCTAGTGTGGTGTACGGGGGAGTTTCCTGAACCAAGGACACCTCAGGGAGAGCTGAGAGACCCAACAGGAGTCTGCAGCTCATGCAAATGCTGCTGACAAGATGTGTGTCAGGTCTTGCTGACAAGACACACCCTTCCCACCTATAAAAGAAGCTGCTAGGGACTGCTAGTGACCAGGGCGGGCAAAGAGGGAGTGATGTCTCAGCAAGGGCATGGCATGGCAGTTTGTGTTGCAGTGCACATGGAAGGGTGTGCAGGAAGGGCACTATAGCTCGGCCAGCTCGACCAGGGATAAGTGGTATCTACCCGCAGAAAGCCATGGCATCTCTAAACTCTGCATCCACCACAACTGATTCAGCTTCCTGGACAGAACTCTGATGGGAACATGCTGCTACTCAGGTGTCAGGCTGCAGGGTGTGTCCTACTCTTATACCACTACTGGACAGCAGTTGTGAGTACACCTGGGGTGCACCCAGGTAGAGGAACTCCTCTGCTTAGTGACAGGCCTCCATGAGGAGGTGAGTAGGTTGAGGAGTATCAAGGAGTCTGAGAGAGAGTTTACTGGAATTCCACCTCACCTTCCCTGAGACAAGCCTGTCAGGCAGACAGGGCGCGTGATACAGAGGATTCTCTATCTTCTCTCCACCTGGCTGAACACAGTCACTTAAGGGATAGGGGGCAATGGTGACAAGTTCCTGCACTGGCACAGCAGACATGTCTGTGACTACCCCACCTTCCCAGGCACTCTTGCATAATAGATATGAGGCTTTGCAAGTGGAACTGAACAATAACATGGGTGATGGTTCATTTAACTTGGAGGTGTTGCCAAGGTTCAGCTGGCCTATGCCCTATGTCAAAACTGCTTCCATAAAGAAAAAAATCAGGTCATTGTCATAGGAGACTCTCTCCTGAGGGGAACAGAAGGCCCAATATGCAGAGTGAACCCATTTCTTAGGGAAGTCTGCTGCCTCCCTGGGGCCTGGGTTAAAGATGTGAAGAGAAAGCTTCCTCTACCCTGGTATGACCCTCAGATTTATTATTCATTACTGATTTTTCAAGTAGGCAGCAATGAAGTTGCAATAAGAAGTCCAAGGGCAATCAAGAGAGACTTTGGGGGCTTAGGAAGACTGGTTAAGGGATCAGGAACACAAGTAATGTTCTCTATCCTTTCAGTTGCAGAGAATGATGAGGGAAACCCTGTTTATTTGTGCTTTGTGAGTCCATGAAGTGTGACTCTGTCTTGTCGCGGTAGGAACGGC